CTGGTTTTCTTCATCAACCCGGGGCTGGACATGGTGATCCGGCCGATTCCAGAGCTGGTGGTCAAGAGCAAAGAAGACGAAGAGCAAGATCGCAAGAGGCCGTGCGTGGAGTTTACTTGGGGGCAGCTGCTAGAATTCACCCAGAAGCACTATAGAACCGATGTCCACACGCTGGACGCGTTTGAGAGCTACTTGAGGAAAACGAGCCAAGCAGCGTGAGGACGGACAGGGAAGAACGAATGTAAATTTGCCAAAGATCATCGAGCAGAGGAGGAGCCTACAGGAAAGCAATTATCAAGGACACTCCCTCTTCAACCCCGGATTCTCTCGAGGCATCCCTTCCTGGTGAGGGATTGTTGTTTCAGCACATGCTCGGGACCAACTCCGTTTGTAGGAACCAGGTGTTTCGAGTTGACGTAGGGCTGTCGAGTGGCTAGCCAACACTGCTCCTGAAGTTTTGGAAATCTGACACGGCACTAATGTCTGGTTTCTCTCGAAAGAGAAGGAGAAGCCACCGCAAGCATCGCCTGGTTTAGCTTCGTTTTTAGATCGAGGTAAGTCGTAAGTTTGAATATCTTTGTATTCTATGATGTGTAGCAAGTGTTGGGAAAGGATGGGAAAGCTGGCATCAATCGGTTTGTTGCAGTAGCCCATGGATAAAACTGTAGTTCGTGGATAGATGTATGACATTATAGTCAGCATTCCAGAATCAATCCTAAGATAAATTTGTTTAGAATGATCATGTTAAAATAAATGGTGGCGCAGTTGGTCAGCGCGTAGGTCTCATAGCTGCTGAGAAATCCTGAGGTCGAGAGTTTGAGCCTCTCTCATCCCATTGTTTCCAAGTTTGGTCTGAAAAGAAACTTGGATCATTAATGACATGTTAAGTTCAAACAAAAACTAACAAAATTCACCTACATTGTCCAGAGTTTAATCAAGCCTGCAAATGATGGAACTGGCTGAGGAGAAAAGGAGTTGTTTCCAACGCTTCTGTTATGCATACACACATGCATCAGGTCAACTCCAAATTAAGAAGAAATATTACATTAGTTGGAGAGCTCTCAACCCGCTTAGATCAGGTAACGTTCCAGTAAAAGCGTTATCATTGATGTGTCTGTAAATGAAACAAAACTTGAGTACAAAGTAGTTACCATATTAGCTATTTAAATTTCAAAGAGGGTTGATATCCGCCCCAAACTGCTCAGCAGTGATCCAGCAAATCGATTTTTGTCAAGTCTCCTGAAAATACACTATTACACAAGATTGTATTCTAGCCATCAACGGCTTACATGATGGTCAGCTTGGAAAAGTTTCCAATTTCATCGGGAACTTCTCCAGAGAAGCCATTATTGTCCAGTAACCTGAAGGACAACAGGTCCAAAAACCTCCAAGAAAATGAGAAAGATACATACAAGTGCTTGAGTTCAGGTAAGAAACATATTTCTGGCGCATCCACCTCTTTGTAAACCACCCAGCATTTGCTGGGCAAGTACTCGTTATTGCATAACTAGAGCAGAATGCTGGGTGGTTAACAACGCTAGGCTTGGAGTTTAAAACAAATCTCTCGCTACTGAACACCCTCAAGCGTATCCTCTCTGACATTTAGTGCTCAAGAGCTGGATTTTTCCTTGCCCGATGTCCTGTCCATGATTATATGCCCGCTAGGCCTTGTAGTCCCACACTCTTTCATGGGACTAAGCTGGAACACGAAACAGAAATTAGTCAGGCTATACGTCCTCCATAATCCCTGGTAACCCTAGAGTGTCAAGCCTTAGGTTAGTTTACCTGAAGATTTCTAGCTTACAACTCACAACACAGTACTTTGCAAATCCACTAATCTGAACGTATTTCAGATGTTTGGTCCCGGGACATTTCCAGATGTTGTTGCTGTAAACACACCTCTGTTCACTCGGTTCCATATGTTACTTTGAAAGGAGCTCTATTCTTATTCTCAAGCAATTCTCCGGAATGCACTTTCAGTTCTAGGATTGATTATGGGGAGGAGTGAGGACGTAAGTTTCAGTGTTTAGCTTGACTGATTTCTGTTTGGTGTTCCAGCTTAGTCCCAAGGCTAGCCATGCTTGAGCCCACAATAGGCTTGAGGTGGTTGATCGCTTGTAGGGAAATTCTGCAGTGAATATTGTCACCTGCAGGAGGAAGCAGCTCTATAGTCTTTAGAGGCACTCCAGACTTTGTCAGCCTCCGTCGCTGAAATCTGAGTCCTGCTGCCTTACTTCCCTCGCATCTTCTGGTTGAGCTCTGCATTGTTGGCCTTAGCAGCAGACTCTTCCTGGACATGTGACCAACAATTGATCACATTATAAACTGGCCTCTCCATCTTGGTAGCAGTCGATCTCCAAGAGTTTTGCTACTACTCACTCACAGGAGCTGGTGAGTACTTCATGGACGTGTTCGTGGGAATTTGGAAATCCTCTGCGGCCCTTCCTTCTCATCATCGACACTGGCAGTGATCTCACCTAGGCTTGCTTCAAGCAATCCGGCCTGGTGTTTGATCCATCCCAGTCCACTTCCTTCGAAAGCATCCCTTGCAATGCCAGGGCCTGCAATCTAGTCGTCCACGAAGAATGCCGCCTTAACGGGCTGTGGCTCGCCGTTAACTCGATCCAGCTGTTGGCAGCCGTCGGATCGAGTCAGGTTCTCCGTGAGAACGTGGCTGGCAACTGCCAGGTTCTGGAGGACCCTCTCATCCTCGAATAACGGTCTCGCCACAACCTGAGGCTGTTCCCAGGCACGGGCTCGCTCGTTCCCGGGAACTCGAGCTCCAGGAATTGATCAAAAAGTCCACCTCTCGTGTCATCTAGGCTCAGGTGAGCAGAGTTATTGCAACTTTTATCCTGATAATTCGAATATAGGACACAAAGAAAAAGCCAGTTCGCTGAGCAATATGATCGCTCAGGCCACAAAGTGAAAAGTATCAAGCCTGGTTGCCAGATCTATCCTTTGAAGGTCCTCCTTTATATGTAGATACACTATTTAGACGTCTTTATAGAGCTTTTAGTTTTGGAAGGGTCCAATGGAGAGTATCCAGGCTTCTTGAAGAACTCGTCGTTTTCTAATTCTTTTCTTTCTTTTTTTAGAGCATAAGTTCTTCCGGGAGAATCATGTACCGTAAATAAGTTCATATCATTCTGCAGGTCTTTAACATCAATATGCAAATCTGTGGGGAAGCTGCAATTGTTATTTGTCACAAGAATAGCAATTCTGAGAATGGTTCTGCCTGGAAGCTTGAATTTTATTGGTTGCTCCTCCCCAGGCAAAATAGGGCTTCCTATTTGAGGACCATAGATTGTCCCAAATTCATCATGTAGTGTCAGTATTGTTCTATCAGTATTGTTCTTCACTACAAATTTTGCTTCTTTTCCATAAGAGATGCCCATTAGAACTTCAAACGCTACAAGAAGATTATAAAGAAGAACAATAACTCATTAAGAAAGTAAGAAGCTCCTTAAACTGACATATAACTGCCAATTTGTAATCAATCAGTGGCCCTTCCAAGGTTTTAAAGGCAAATAAAAATGATTACTTTTATATGTTAACACTATTTCATTGAGTTGACATTGACTTAGTAACCCTCACGTATTGAGACTAGTCCCTCAATATCGCTGGATGATAGCTTATCGTGTCTGCCAAACTTGGACAAACTTGTGAGTTATATTAATCCCTAAAGAATGTGCATTTGACATTTATATAGACTTATTCTTCTTAAAATTTGAATAGATATTTCTGTAAAGTAAATATATTGAAATAACTACCATAAATATTACTAATAGTCCTTACAAATTCTTAAGTGATGTTAAATATCAATCAAAGTATTAGAGCCCTTGGTGGTGGTTTTCTAAAAATAAATTGAATATTTATCTTCAAAAATATTTTTCTCAAAATCCTTGAAATTTGCATTGATTTTTATGAAATTCGCATGGACATGTCATGACATAAAACAAATAATATTCATACTTAAGCATGCTACGAAACTGATGTTAAAAACAATTAATTTAAATTTAAAAAACATAAAATATAATTCATGCAATTGGACTATTTTTGTTAAAAGTCATACCTTATAAAAAAATATTGTGATTGTTTCATTAAATTAATGTTTGTTAAGTAAATGTATAGAAATACATTTTACAACAACTATAAATATTAACAATATGGATTGTATTATTATACTAAATAACTTAATACTATCCACCTTAAAAATTAATCTATGATGATAAATATCATTCAAAATAGCATTAAAAGCCCGTGGTGGTATTTTTTAAAAAATATGATTGAACCACTCGTCTATCTTCAAAGATATTATTTTCAAAATTCTTATTAATGTCCTTTAATTCTGCATTTATTTGTCGAACAATATTTTTCAAATATTAAGATTTACATTGCAATCTCAAATAAATTGATAGTTTGAAATGAATTGCCAAAAGTGTTGCCATATACGTAGCAAGTGAAATAAATATAAAAAGACATGAATGTTTCCAGGATACATTTTTAGTAAGCATCTGAACTATAAGATTGAGTAAACAAATGATAGAATTTATCAAGTAGAATTTATCAAGACCTCAAAAACAAAATACATTTCAAATACTTGATAAATTCTATCATTTGTTTTGATTATTCTTTTTCTAGTTTTTGCTAAATTTTTTTGATGCTTTGGGAGTTCTTCTTTATAATTTAATAGAAGATCACTACTGATGGATTTAAAATCATTATTTATCTCTGATTTAACCTGTTCCTCCTTGCATTCAATTTGTACTTTGTGAATAGGTGAGTGATTTGAAAAGTAAATAGCTTCCATAAATATTTTACAGTAGTAGTGCATAAAACTAAATTATGATCCTTTGCTTAAGAATATGAAATGAATGATGTGAGATGAGATTTATATATATGGATGTTTGGAAGTATTCTTTATCACTATTCCCCGAAATTGATATGGACTTAGTCCATTTTGACTTTATAATTAAATTTTATATAACACTATTTCACTGGGACCTACTCTATCTCACACTTTCATAGTCCCTCGTATATCTTTGTCTTGGCCTTGATCGCATCCTAGCATTTGATGTAATTCTCACAAGGAGATATGCATCTTAACATATGAAGATTGATACAAAATCCCAATAAGATTTTCTACCATTTTAGCATATTCTATCACAAATGAAAAAGAAACCAATTTTTGTTTTTTACTTAATCTTCTATTCTATTTGGCATAAGTATCATTGTTCTTTCTCAAAGAATTTTTCTTACTACTTTCTCGAAGTCTCTTTAAAAAGTCATAATATCATTAGATTAATTTTTATATAGTAAATATATTGAAACCATAACCATAAATATTACTAATAATGGTTGTCATAATATGCTAATTAATTTCGTAAAATCTACTTTTGAAATACTTAGATGATGATAAATGTCAATTAAAATATCAGTAATAGCCCTTGGTGGTGTTTTCTCAAAAAAGGATTGAATAGCTCTTCTATCTTCAAATATGTTTTTCTCGAAGTCCTTTTTGATGTCTTCTACATCTGCATTTATTTGTCGTACAATATTCTTTAGATGTTGAGATTTACATTGAAATTTCAAAATAATTGATATTTTATAATGAATTGCAAAAATGTTGCCATTGATATAAGGAGTGAGATAATTATGAAAACCCAAGATTGTTTCAGAGATATATTTTTGTTACTATGAATTTGAACTACCAAATTGAGTATAACTCCCTCAAAAGCAAAATACATTCCAAATACTTAATAAATTCTG